AAAAAATGGTACCTGATCCTTTTTACCCCGTGGGTGGTACCCGTAATGGGACTGCCTGGAGGCAAACAGATTCAATGTCTTATTTTCAATTTCAAAGGGTTTCAAAAAATTCTTATCTTTTCTTGTTTTGGAGATATTGGCGGTGAACATTTTCACTGGCGAACTTTTAAGCCCCTCGATACTCTATATATGTATATATATATATATATATACATATATATATATATATATATATATATATCTTATTTAATAAAACTATAATTTATTAAAGCAAAAATTTCTGTAAGCTCTATTTGACCTGCATAATTGACCTTTACAACTGTAATATATCAGTCTTCAATTAGTACATTGCGTTACGATTAGAAAATTATATTTATTCCGTTTTATGTTGTATCATCTAATAATATAAATTATCTGTGAATAAATTATCGAATTGTGGAATCATTTACCACAAATTATGCAACGGTAGCTTACGAGATGGCTTAAAGTAATTTTAGCTCTTATAAGTTACCAATAAAATAATAGACAGACATGTGATATAAATCATTTGATATTAATGATTTATAAAAAAAACAGTCTACATAAAGAATGGCGAATCCTATGGCATAAAAGATTTTGCACAAGAAAATATTTCTCACGATTCTCTAAAAATTTGACATCATTGCACCATCGTTTTCCCCAAATTTGTTTCTTATTTGATACCATGTTACATATTTCACAGCTCAATTAAGTAATTGGGTATATTGTATTACAAGGTAAAAGTTACTTAATGCTTCTCTTTTTACCCAAGCAAAAAAACATCTTATGTTTATTTAATTTACTGTCGCAATGTGAACAATTAATTTTGAACATGATATGAGAAAAATGTCATTTTTACATTGCGCGCATGTCTCAACCAAATTATCTGTTCGTGTTAACATTGCTCGAAACACGAACCGAAATATGTTCCAGAATTAAAAAAAACGCGAATTTGGCTGGTGAAATCTGATGTACTCCTGTGAAATTTTGGATAACAGACATTTTGATATAAAGATAAGTTCATAGTACATGAAACTTTGTGAAAATTAAATAACTTTTAGTTTTGTTCACTAATTTTGTGAACGATTTTAGTAATCGAAGTAAATTATCAAAATGAAGAATTAACCAAAAGTTCATATTCTTGAAAATTTTTATTACTGAAAATATATCTTTCCAGGCCACATCAGCATCAAAATAATCAAGGATTGTTGATATAGATTTTAACTAGTAGTGTATGGCATCGTGCCTTAAGGCAAATTGCTGGAACTTCCGGTACCGTAACAAAATGATCGAGGAATATTAAGTGTTTTCAAATAGATTATTATACAAACTAACATTTTTCAATATTTATAAGAATTATATAAACTGAATTACAAAGTTAAAATTATTTACTTACAGTATTTTAGTGAGTTTAGAACTTTAGTCAGGACTAAAATTTAAATCTGAATTATTTTCGATATACAAAAAAAATTTTGAAAACAAAATTATTCCAAAGTTTTTTTCACAAAAACAATTGCTTCGACAACACAAGCAGAATGTTTTTTAAATCATTCAAATCGTATTATACTCCGTTCTCTCAAAAACTCGATTTTCTGCACTCTTTGCTTCGTATCTTCGTAACGGTTGGGCCTGCCTTTCCCAAAAACTAATCAGCACATCTCTCTGTCAATAGGAATTGATTGTTTGTCTCCACACATATACACACATATATACAAACATGTATTTTTTCTTAGGTATGTAAATTATTATCGATTTTCGGCCCATTATTATAACTTACCCAACGGGAATTTAAAAAATAAAATAAAAAGGTGATAATATAATTTTTCTAAGTAAATAATATTTGATTCCACAAAATGCCCATATTTTATATCTTTAACCAATTTATTTTTATATCCTTGTCTTGCAAAAATTTATAGATATTTATAACAATAAAAAAAGACCTAAAGAAGATTTCACCTACAGATTTATTTTGCGTTTAATTATTTAGTATTTTATGTGATCAATTTAATTCAATTTTTATACCTAGCAATAAATATAGAGAATGCCACCATTGAATAAATATTCTCAGTTTCTAAATATTTACTATATTCATTAATTGATTTGTTATCCCAAGTGAATAGATTATCAAGATTTTTTTATCAAAAAATAGACACAATTTAAAACATCATATTTAACAGGTTAACATTTGATAACCTGCAACTTTTAGATAAAGCTTTTTAGATATAGAGCTTTTAAATAAATTTGATCATACTGTTCAAAATAGCAAATTATATAAAATACAATATTCAATTATTCTACTATAATATGTAATTATGAGCTGCCAGCTTTATACGTAATATAATATTCAAAAATTTAGATGTAGAACGTTTATTAAAAAAAAGATATTACCACAATTTTAAAATATGCAAAAATTTCCTAAATATTTTTAAATGTTTTATATGATTTTTTTTAATAATTATTGAGCTTTTAAATAATTTTTGAAAATGCTGCAATAACAGTTCATAAAATTTTATTTATAATAATGGGATGTAATAAACAATCATTTATTGCTATTATTATTATTATTATTATTATTATTATTATTATTAGAAATCTGAAGTCTATACTATTATAGCTTGTGCAATTATGAATTTTTCACTCAATAAGCAAATATTATTTAACATTTTATGACATGTTAAAGTATGTATAACCTTTTCACTCACGAATTGCTGGAGCGGCGGAATCCGAGTGGAAAGGGTTAAAATTAAAAATATAATCTAATAAACTGATATAAAAATAAAATGAAATTAATTACCTACCTAGTTTGAAAAATATTATCACTTATAATTTTTTATGTGAATATAATAGTAGTAAGGTAAATCGTAGAGATAAAGTTATTGCTGAGACATTTGTAAAAAAAATTATATTATAAAGTAGCATTTAGCATCTTTATCTATAATTGAATACCATATTGATTCTTTCATATTGGTAATTTCAAATAATTGATGATTTCGTCACGTCGTATAAGTTTCAGAGACAAATAATAATTTCACTGAAGTGATTTTCGTGATCGGCGGCGAATTAAGTAACTCTATCCCATTATCTTGAAAGGTTGACCTCCTCTGTGGCAATAGCACTATCGCTGATTTGTCATCGCGAAAAGAAGCAAGTGTGATGTCGCATGTGAATTGCACTAAATGTTTCATATATTAAATTTCATGTATGTAAAACACGAAATCGAATGACATAACAATACGAACATCGTTTGTTTCCATGAGAAGAAGGAAGATAAATGAATAACAAAAATGTCGCAACATTATTGTGTTATGTTATGTATTTTCTAAGTGAAGTCATTTTTATTCTCGACGCGTTCAATTCTTTTTTATTATCAGCAGCTTTAGTTTGACGCACTTTCACTTAACTGCTGCGCGGCAGAATTTATTGCTGGTAATATCACTTAGAACGGAGATTCTTGCTCTATTACGCTCAAGAAGAATAAATATATGAACAGAGATGTTATCGGGTCACAGCAGGTCATAAAGCTATTGTATAACTTTAAAATGACTAAATAAAAATTCACTCGTGCATTGCTACTGAATAATAAAACTATTAATATGAGCATATTTGTAAAGAAAACAATTGTGCGTCAGGAACGTCCAGTAGATGAATATTTAAGTGAAAGTAGATGAAAAGTATGTGAAAACTTTGCAAGCAGTTAGGAAAACGATTTAAATATTATCTGTTAAAACTATGTATGGAAAATCAAGTTTGTTATGCCTTCCAAGATTTTATACATTTTTACATCCGTATTAGATGTTTTAAGAATATTTTTGGGTTGTTCTCTCATTTAATACTCAAAAATATCCTATTAAATAAAAGTTCAGAATACATGAATTAAGTTCAATTGATTTCTCAAAGGAGAATTTTATATTTTCATCAAAACATCCGATTCTAATTTTGTGTTTTCTCGACGTTTCAAGCCATTCTGAATCGAATGAGACCAAATTTGGAAAAAGTATGTGTGTGTGTGAACAGATTTTTTGCTGAAAATCGACGTTTTCTTAAAAACGGTTAGACCGATTTTAAAAATTTAAAAGCCATTCGATGTAACCCGATAAGGACTATTGTTTGTCAGTTTTATGCGACGATCGGCCAAGCCGTTTCTTTATAAATAGCAGAAGAATGAAAAAATTTTCTGAATCTTCCGCAATTCTGAATCGATTTTGAAAATTCAAAAACCGTTTGAAAGATATTGGATGAGAATCGTGCTGATTAGTTTTTGGTAGAGATCGGACGAGCCGTTTTCTTGTAAAAAAGTAGATAAGCTAGATTACATTTATAATAATTGCGATTAAGAATAGGTCACTTAAAAGATATTGGTGACAATTTTGTTGCTAATTTGTAATTTTAAGGTTAATTTTTATTTGACCCACGTGTTACTCATATTCAAAAGTTGAATCTTGATCGGCTCATCAATGCCATTATTTTGCCCACATTCATAACTTATGCTTAAATTACGTAAATATAATTTTAGAAGTGTAAATAAGATGGTAAACATGTTTTTTTAAGAAGAAACATTTAATTCTGAATTTTACTTGTCCCTTGTAGTTCTTGCATTTCTCAACAATTTGTAAAATTGATATTGTACGGCCCACATAAAAATGACGCCTAAAATATGACACATAAAAATGACGAAAATTGGTAATATTGGAGCAATATTTAAATATAGCGCCAAGTTTCATTCTAATTTTGCCAAGATTTATTCTAATTATGTCAAGATTCATTTCTACTAGAACTTAATGTATATATTTTTTGTCCATAAATATTCTGAATGTGTCAATGGTTATATTTTTCATATTTATAAAGATTTAACTGTGAACGTGATGAAAATAACATTTATACAGAAATAATTGACGACATTTTTAATAAAACACTTTCTGCAATAGTTTTTAACAGTTTAATATTTTTTTATAAAATATTTAATTTTACTTTTTTCTTTCCAGTTTTGAATGTAGCTGCTGGAAAAGCGCCCATGCAAATATCCACAGAAGGTACTGGTGTACCTCAAAGAGCTGTCGATGGCTCAACTAGTCAAAGGCACGACCCTGCCACCTGCTCCTTGACCAAACCTGAAAGGGTTCCTTGGTGGTATGTGAATCTATTGGAACCTTATATGGTGCAATTGGTGCGATTGGACTTTGGCAAAGCCTGTTGCGGTAAGTGTCTTATTAAATAATAATACTTTTTTTTAAATTGAATAATTTTTTTTATTGTTTGAACAGCAATCAGAACTCTTTGCATGTTTTATAATCTGTTTGTTTGTTAAGGACTTATGACTACTTATGAAAAATTGAATAAAAATGTTGAAAATTATAAGTTCTGGCATGGTTTCGGAACAAACTAAATTATAGAGTTGATATATTTATAATTTTGATGAAATATATATAGTATTATGCACCGATCTTTACAATTAGTATACAATGTCTCTTCAATCTCATAAGCAAGATCTACACCTGGATTTATAGCGTTATCATATTATAAAAATAATGCAAACTAAATCATTTATTATGAACAGTAATAAGTTTTGATTTGATTACCCATAATACTAATTATTAAATAAAATTTCTCAAGCCAATTAACTGACTATTACGAGTTCTTAATGAGTTCTTCATACATTTTCATTAAGTGAAAATAAAACAATATAAGATATTATTCCATTCAGGAACTAGGCAATTGCTCGACGGCTAATAAAATAAACACCTGACTATTTCCTTATCCGCGTGCGCATAATAAAAAAGATACATCGAGAATTAATTTAAAATTCATAACTTATACAAGCAATTGCGTTCAAGCTTAACTTTTATAAGTTTCTTTGTAGACGCTGATATATTATGTTACACTTGTATGATACAACATTAAAAAAAATATTATTAAGCTTATTTTACTTATGGTAAATTCAATATGTACTTATTATATATTAGAACAATATATATATAGAAAATAAAATTCAAATTCAAAATTCAAATAAAATTGGAATACTGATTACAATTCGAATACCAAATAATAAAATATTTTAATTTCTTTCATATTATTTCATTTATGTCAATTCCATCTAATATACGTTTTGAATTTTTTTATTGTCGTGAACTATTTTATTAAAAGAGAAATTATGATAATTTATATAAACTTAATAATTTGACGTATTATTGTTTATTTATATTATTCACATACAAAAATATCAGAATATATTAAACTTAAAATTAATATATTAAATTAAATTTTTATTTTGCGTAAAAACAATTTTATACTTTATTCGATTTTTTATAACTAACCTCTGTTATGATAGTATATTAGCAAGTTAGCCTTATTTAATTTTTAATGAGTTTTTTTGTAAACTAATTTAGCAATTTTATACACACACTTCAAATTTTGAAAGCTTTAAAAAGTTTTTTTTTGTCTCTGCATTTTTAGTATCAACTTTGAAATCAAACAAATTTAAAGTGTAGGGCGGGTGGTAAAGGTCCAATTTAACTTTCAGTAAAACCAAAGGAACGACAAAAAACACGCATATCAAACAAACAACTATCAATCTATGTCCAGTAAAATTTTCAATTTATTCCTAATTATATATGTTATTTTTCTACAATTTGTCACATGTCTCTTTTTACTTCATATGCTGAGTAAGCTATTAGGCAAATAGATACGATGTCTTATTTTATATTTTAATTTAATGAAATAATACATAAAATTATTTAACCAATGCAAAATAAAAATTTCATGAACACATTTTCCACAAAGAACACTGTATATAACCTTGATCTGGTATTTTGTGAGAAATTTTATCAGCAGCGATGGAATAACTTTGAATTTAATTTAGCTTTTATAAAATTGTTTTTTATTAACCTAATTTAATTTTTACTTTTTTATTATTATTAACACCTTTGACAGGGTAAAGGTTTAGGTGGTCATTTTTACTCCACCCACGTGTAAGCTTTTATAGATGTTATATAAAAAAAATTTTTGAACCCAACTTAAAAATAACAATACATATTATAAAACATTTAAATAATGTAGACTTAAAAAATATCTTATGGTCTTATAAACTAAACAACAGTGCTCACCACCAAAAAAACTAACAACGAAAGAAAATACTTTTGTTATGTATCTTCAAACATTGCCGTTTATCTCCTGATAACGACGTCGTAAGAATCAAGGTAGTGGCTGGTTATACATCTTTTGCCCTCTACTTTCAAATATTGTTGTTAAAAAAATTCCTAACGTTACTTGTTTTTGGGATATCATTGGTGGACCTTTTTACCTGCGGAGGTAAATATTTCTCTCCTAAGCCGTTATATTGCGATTAGATATCTCATGTTAAGCTGCTCAAATTAATTAATATCCAAGTTTGCGTATATGTAATGTTAATAGAAATATTTAAAAATGATCCCGATAGAAAACGACATTGAAGTAAACTCTGCCGTTATATGATTAAGCTCTTTCTCCGAGGGCAATTTGCTTTATAGAATGCGCATAACTGCATTAAACTAGACCGATTCAATTTGTATAAATGTTTTCAAATGCATTTCTTCGGATTGCAAATCCGGTGCACTTACTAATAGCATGTTGGATGTATGTCGCAATTACTATTAGCGCTTTTTGAAGACATTTTTTATGCACATTTCCGAACGTTTAAGTTCGAATTGTAAGTTTATGATTTATTGCTGATAGGGATATGTTGACACCTTAGCCGCAGGTTGGCTTTTTGTCGCCAATTTGCAATGTATGTATATAAACATCCGTTAATAATATAAACAAGAAACTAAGAAATGTTATAAAAATGAAAATGTTATCTAGAATTAGACTAAATACTAAATATGATTATTTTATGAAAATTTAAAATTTACTGTATGAACATCCTATTTTTTATGGAATTATGTAGCCAGGTTAACTATCAATCAAGCATGCAATGTCAATAATGTATCAAAATGTTTAATAAAATAACAACTTTATCTATACTGTGATTATATAGTTAAAATCCAATTATATTCTCAAAAAAAGACACTGTTCGCAGCTTATATATTATGTCTCCAATATTATAGTATAAAATTAATTAAATGAAGCTTTCTTGCAAATTCACTTACACTTATCTTATATTTAATTATAAATTGATTTTATAATTATCACTATAATAGTGTATCTTTAAAATGACTGTAATATGAATATTTCTATATCTAGCAAAAAATTAATAATATAGGGTAGAGCGGGGCTTAAAGGTCCGCGGGTAAAAAGGTCCATCATCGATATCCCAAAAACAAATAAGATTTTTTTAACAACAATATTTGAAAGTAGAGGGAGAAAGATGTATAACCAATCATTACCTTACAATGTTGCTATCGGCAGATAAACGGCAATGTTTGAAAATCCATAACAAAAGTATTTTCTTTTCTTAGGTTTTTTGGTTGTGAGTACTGTTGTTTAGTTTACGAGACCTTCATATAATTTTCAAGAAATACTTTATTTAATTGTTTTATAAGGTGTATATTTAATTTTAAATTAGATTTAACAGTTATTATTACATAACTTCTTTGAAAGTTTACACGTGGATGGGGTAAAAAGAACCAACTAAACCTTTACCCTGGCTATGGTATAAACAATCAAAAATAGTAAATAAAAAACATAAAAAGCTATTTTACAAGAGATAAATTAAATATATAATTATTCCAAATCTGCAGATCAATATCTAACGAAATACCAGATCCAGGTTCTATACAGTGTTATCTCTGTAAAAAGTGTACCCATTAAATTTATATTTTTTATTAGTTGAATAAAATTTAATTAGTTGAATAATAATAATAATAATAATAATATAGCTATTTGTGAAATCCATCTAAAATTAAATGAGACATTGGACCTGTTCGCCTCATAGCCCCGCTTATGGGGTAAAAAGGAACAGGTGACAATTTTTTGAAAAACTGCAAAAAAAATACATTTTTTGAATGATGAAATAGCTGGGAGTTTACTGAACATAGTCAGATAGTTGTATGTTTGATATGTGTAAAATTTGTTGTGATATAATTGGTTTGGTTTTCACAATATAATTGCCCAAAGTCAAACTGGACTTTTGTGCCCTGCCCTACCCTAATTAAAAAATAATAGGTATATGAAACTATACAATATTAAAAATATATAACTTAACTTGCTTATATATTATAGTAATTTATAATATTAGCACATTCAAGAATATTTTATACAGATTTTAGTATTGAAATTAAATATATATTAAATTTAAAAGTAGATTATTAAATTAGCTTTTCATACTTTTGTTTTGGAAAAAACAATTTTTTGGAAAGGAAAAAATTGAAGTAACATGTAACCCTTACTGGAATTAGATCATATTACAAAACTGTCACGATTTGTCATGGTGTATTTAACTTCTTTATATTGTGGCACGAGAACGTTTTAATAATATATATATATATATATATATATATATATATATATATATAATGTTTGTATATCGCTATAATCTGCACAAGTAAGTACGTAATGATATAATAAATCAAGCAATGTGATACAGTTAGAGAAGTGATCTTATTGTTAGGTACAGTTAACCGACTGCGTCTCTTTATGAAGCAAAACATGATGTGGACCTACATAGAAAAACCTATTGAAAACTGTAAATGCAATTTAACTAATAACACTTCTGAATGACTAATTGCCCTTGAAGAAATCAATAAAAAAATTTATCGCCAAAAGGCTGGCCGAATTGTTATATTCTTTGCTGTGTTATTTTTTGTTCATGGATATCTAACGTTGTCCAGCCAATTGTATTTTTCTTGTCTTGTATGAATATGAATGGATATTTATACTAATAACGTCATGTTAGAGCATGACATTAATAAATATCATGTCAAATATTCATTATTGATGACCTATTTTTTTCTTGATATTATTAATGATTTAGTTTTTTTTTCTTTCACTGACAAAAATTTTTATTCAATATTTACATGGAATTTAATGTTGTTTCAATATTAAATGTAATTGCATGCCAATTCAATATTAAATGTAACCTAATGTAACATTTAAGGAATGTTTCGTTCAACATTTTCAATAAAATAATTATGATATCTTCTGGCTAATTAGTGACATATGCTACCTGTACACATTGTAAAAGGTACTTTGTTAATTTTTTATGCACTTTTGCTACATTTGTTAC